TGTTCTCATATACAGTATGTGTTCACCTTTCTTATTATGATATGAATTCATTTAATTCTATATTATATTTTCTTAATGTAATAATCTATAATGTATATAATATAATGGATAATAGAAGAAAGTCACAAAACTCTTTCAGATTTGAAACAGCATCCTTTTATATAATTGCCAAATACATCCTTAGCTGAATTGTATACATGTATAACAAGATCATTAGGTTCTATTTTCTTATATTTTCATATGGGTGCCATAAGTGTTAGGAATGTTATTCCTACTTTTTAGGTAACTGGAATCTTTTAGGAGTTTTGCAGTAGTGCGGTGACATGATTTAAATCTGTCTGTAATTCACAGAACTCAGTTATGTAGCTACCCTGTAGAAAGTCCCCTGATATTACTCCTCTGCAGCTCTTAGCTGTATTCAAAATATAAAATATTTCTGTTACTATTCACAACAAACAAATCCAGATAATTAAAAGATTGCCTGCAGTGAAACACTGCATAATCTTAACACAGCCCTGTCACAGATTTATTCATTGGAATTTCACAACCTGTTAAGGAATATCTTTTGGAAAAACTCATACAATATATCCATCACCTTTATGATGCATGTTTTTTGAAGCTGCATTATTGTTTTTTCATTAGACAAAGCGTAAGGAAGTCCAGGTGAGTCTCATATGCTTTGCAGAGTGTTGTTAACGTGAGCCCTAGCCTTGCACACTGGTTTTCCTATTTGAATCCCTAGTTTACCTAGTAAAGTAGAAGCAGTGTCAATTAATTTAATGATTGTTAGTAGATGTACAGTATATGGGTTTAACCCCTGTTGTATATAGAAGAGTCAAAATCCAGTCTTTGATAGTCACAAGGTCAGTCAGTTGCACCCAATGTATTGATTTTTCTTTTTCTGGTTTTTCATTATTGCTTATTTAATGCAGTCCATAATTATAAGATAATAATAAAGCGTGTAGAACTGTTGACTTTGCGTTTAGGATCTGTGAGCTTTTACGTTCATAATTAGTCCTTGGTAGTTTTCAGGGACTGGATTTTGACATCTTCCCTCTATTAGATTGCTCTGAGTCGCCCACTCTGGTTAGTCACCTCACTCTCAGTGTTGCTGCTTGAGTATTTCAGACCTAGTTACTGTACTTGAACCTTTTCCAGTGAGAATCCCACTTCAGGTTAGATGTATTAGGTTTGCGTATTATGTAATGCTAGAACAAAACCTAAAACTAATACCTATACAAGTATATAGGCTTAAACCTCCGGAAAAAGAAACTTTGTTTTCTTCCTCAAAAGCTGGAAATAAAAAAAATAAGGTAGACTTTTCTTTACCTGAGCTTAAAATTCCTATAATTATTTTTTTTTTCTCATAGCATAATCATGGAAGCCTCAACAGCAGAGAACCTGCTGTAGAACTACTGCAGTACTACAGTACTGTACTGTAAAAGCTACTGAAGTACTGTACTCTGTTTCCACATGTTTACTCAGTAAGGGGTATTATAGTCACTGTTGTGTCCAGGAAAACGAGTGTTGTAATGTAGTTTGGAATCAGAGGATTCCACAGGTCTTGTGTTTTTACAGTAGAAACCTCGACACACCATAACAAACACTGATATTAGCAATACCAGCTACCTGTTATTGACTGTACCCACATACATTGTTATATGAAATACCACAGATATATATTGCTAATATCAGTGATTTAACTTAAAACGGTACTCAACAGAATACAATTGTGGTTGACTAGGTTTCACATGTTTCACTACCTCTACTGAAAAAGAAAAAAAAAAGCCAGACATTCACTTTCAGTAATTTAAATATCGGATTGTTCTCAAGGCCGCCGTGAGTTAAAGCAGCTATGAAAAGACTTCTTTTGTGTATGAGTATTCAGAACAGTAGTGTTTGTATACTTCCCAGTTAAATTATTTTTTTCATAAGTCTTTGTTTCTTGTATACTATAATTGCAAAACATTTGATTGAACGCCTCTGCTGCACTTGAAAGAATGATTCTGTGTACTGTATGTGTTTTGTTTTTGTTATGAGCCAGTATGAGCCAAGTCTTGCCATCAGAGAGACATTGTGTTGATTTTCACACATGTGGGGGGTATAAGGGAGCTGAATTGGCTAAGAGTGAGCTAGGACTTTTTCATATTTAATGCTCCTTGTGAAATTAACAGAACAGTGGGGAAACAAACATAAAAAAACACAGCCTAGATCTAAGAAATGCAAGCTTTCTTGCATCAGGAAAAATGACTGGGATCACACTGAAATTTGATTGGTCATAAGACAGAAGGAACATAAGAAAATTTACAAATGAGAAACTGTCACTTGATGCATCTAAGATTTGTTATGAATGTGTGAAACTTGATATTTCCCAAATGTATTTTAGTAGACCATGATACAGTATGTGTAGGACTTGTGATTTCCCAGTATCTCTTGCTTCACTATAATTTGCAGGTGGAATTGTGATATAACAAATATGTAATATAATGAACATCCATATAACATCCATTTAAATCAGTATTTATTTTTCACTTGTACCTGATGTCCTACTTGATGTTGGTGATGAGTCACCTGATTTAGTTTGCCCAATAGAAAGAGGTGGTGGTGCACTGAGCGCTTGTAAAAACGTACTGTACAGTCACATAATAACCAGGTGTCAGCATGTATCAATGGGAAACCTGGACAAATTTAAAGTATCTAAATACTTTGTAATTACTTTCTAATCTATCAAATCATGAGGAGGAAGTGAATTATTTTATTCTGGGATAGATGTTTCAGCCTTGAGAATAAAGACTTAAACCACCTGTTGAGTCTTCAGTTTTAATTGGATGCAATTATGAAACAAACATCAATGTTGTGCTGCTGTGTTAATATATTTTAATTAGTTGTTTATTAGTGAGGTCTGCTGTGTAACACCGTCATTTTGTGCGCCTAATTAAGAACAAGATGTTCACTTTCATTGTTCACATTGTGAAATACCACATACAGTAGGTGTCTTTCTCTTATTTTCATTTGTTTTTCTTTCTCAAAGGGGCAGTGTGTTCTTAGCCTCCTGCTGCTTAGTGACATAATAATAAAGTTACTGCTATAATTATATTTATTTTTGTTGTATGATGATAATGAGGTTAAATTTATGAGGCATGGGTTCCAGATAAAATCAATACTTCTCTTCTACAAATATTATTCTTACTAACAAAAAAGAGCAAAACAACTTGCTGTTGGCAAATCTGTGGTTAGGTAAGACAAGTATTTCACCCCAAGGGAATTAAGTCACATTTTGGAACGGTTCATGGCTACTGAGGTCATATCTTAAAAGGCAACCTGAACCATTGAGGATCTCTGTGAGCAAAGAGTGATATCTCTTTTCTTTTTAAATGCCTGAGGCACAAACCACAAAACAGCTATCTGGTGATATGTACTGTGATGTCGCTGATGGTCACTCGCTGTGATGTCAGGTTAAGTCAAAAGGCAGCGGATGAAAACCTGAATACCTGAGATTTAACCTAAGTCTTCACTGCCCTTCTCTCCTGCTCCCTGTGTCATCTGAAGCTGGACCCCGAAGCTAGTGACATTCTGAATGAGCTGCAGGTGAAGTTGAACAACGTTCTGGATGAGCTGAGCACGGTGTTTGGAAACAGGTGAGTAGACTGCGCAGGCATTATGGAAGAATCCAACACTTGTCTCTTAAAAATGTCTCTCGAGTCCTGCTGTTTGTGTTGTGTAGAGTGGCAAATAGCACTTAAGTCATTATCATGACTGCAAAGGATCATTGGAATGACATTGTAAGGAAGCACTAAAAATTTCAGAATATCAGGGATTGAAAAGAAAAATATCTGCAAGCCAGAGGCAGCCTCTTTACCCCATCTTGCTTGTGGGTTTTGTAAAAGCCTATTGATTGACAAATTGTTTCATGGAAGTTCAGGTGACTGTACAGTTCATGGACGTTTCTTGGAATGTTAGAATCTCCTTCTTGGAATTATCTTGGAATTTTCTTCAATGGATCCTTTAAGTGTCCACTTGAATAGAATTAACCTATACTGGTGCTAAGGGAAACTTAGGAATATAATATATACAACAATAATACAATATGGCAACAGTACTGTACGATACCACGATACAAAACAACATTTAACCACATTGCTCAGTCAGAACTCAATCCAGGCCTGTTGACATCTTCAGTGTTGTCACTGCCCACTGTAACAGACCCTTTTCCCTCTGCTCCCCAGTTTCCAGCCCCGTATTGAGGAGTGTGTGAAGCAGATGGGGGACCTCCTGAGCCAGGTGAAAGGGACTGGAAACGTACCAGCCAGCGCCCGCAACACCGTGGCTGCGGATGCCGACAACGTGCTCCGACCGCTCATGGACTTCCTGGATGGAAAGTAAGTGCGCTGCTTAGAATGCTGTCTGCTCTCTAAGGGAGAGTCGCCATCCTGGGATGAATATCATTGTTGCATTCATCTAGTAAGCCCGTTTAATATTCCTTTTTGTTCGCTCAGGCTTGTCTTTGTACCACATCAGGTAGGCCTGGCTGTGTTTCTAATCCCTCTGTCTTTGTGTGCAGCCTGATGCTGTTTGCCACAGTGTGTGAGAAGACTGTGCTGAAGAGAGTCCTGAAGGACCTCTGGCGGATTGTTATGAACACCCTGGAGAAGGCCATCGTCCTGCCACCCCTCACTGACACCTCGGTAAGCCTTCCTTGTCCAGCAGACCTGTTCATTCACAGCTCCTTTAAAGGCAGGACTGGGATCACTGAAATATTTTATAATATCAACTGAATTGCAAAGGAATATATTAATTCTAATTAATGTTGAGCCTTGATATAGAGATAATAAATATGAAACTAAACTACTGTAAGAGGATAATGAGAAAAAACACAGAATTGGGTAAGCTGACTCTGTATCATGCAGGACCTGACACAGAAGGCTGTGTAGGCTGAAACTGGAAATCCCCTGTGTGTGGGCAGGGTGCCCAGTTTAATATGACAAGCATCTGTGAATAGTTGTAGCATTGTTGAAGGCATAAGTGTTATGAAAATGAGCTTCCCTGTGTTTAATCTTTTTCACCTCTCTAGCCATATTTTTACACTGAGCTTTAAACCTCATGGAGCTTGTGTCTGTGGAAATGCTAGAACATGAATTTTCAGAGAAAATCCTTTCAGTAAAAAAACCTTTATTTAACTAGATAAGTTAATTGTGAACACGTTTCTAATTTACGATGACTACTGGAGAAAACATTACTACAGTAGGTCTGTTCTGTTGTAGTACAATGAGTGTTTTGCTCAAGGGTACCACAGAAGTGTATTATCCTCATTAATCTAATAATAATCTTGTGTAGGGACACAAGAAATGACCAGTAAATAACACAGTTAAATAACTTTTGTTTTTGCACAGGTTTTGCACTATTATCTGATTAATGAAGAATCACTAGCATTATATGTGTCATAAAATGTTATAAAGCATGTTATATAATGCGTTATAAAATGTGTACACCTGTCACAAGCAGTGTTATTGCAGGATGAAATGTGAAATGTTTTTTTTATTATATTGCCACTCTGCAGTTTCATGACAGATTCTCTTCCATAACATTGTGTAATCAACTGATTAAAATTAAAAATGATCAGTAATCTGTTATTCATTGTTCCAGAAAAGAAAAGTGTCAATACTAATAACACCAAAAGAGACTGCCAAGTTAGTTCTCATTAAGGAGTTACCATTACTTTTAGGTGCTTTTCATTTATGAAAAAAGCTGGATCTTTAATTCTTGGTTTAACTGTAATAAATGCAAAACAGGTAAAAATAATACTGAATCAAATGTTCTTCATGGTTATGCATCACTAAGATCAAAATGTCACTGAACTCAGTGTTACTGTATAAGGAAGTTTGATCCATGAGGGAAATTTACTGCTAATGTAATGCATTTTATGCATGGGTGCTTTTCAAAGAACTCAAAAGTGCTGTACCATAGTACAGACTGGGGAAAAAGAAAGAATTAAAAGAGCACAGTGTGCTGAAAATTATAGTGAATTAAATATTATAAGGCACAGAAAAAACAGATGTTTAAAGATGTCAGCAGTCACAAAGCTGCTAATGGATTTGATCAGTCAATTCTATAGACAAGGCCCCCCCAGCGGGGATGAGCTTGGCTGGACTCTTGTCTGGAGAGTCCCC